TGACCCTAAACCCTAAACCCCCCTAAACCCTGTGTTTTTATTGATCCTGCTGCCAGGTGGTCTCATCGCGCGCACCGTTGCGGTCGGCAACCTAAGTGGCCCCCCCCAGAAGAGGCCTGAAGAGGCCACGAGAGGCCACGAGAGGCCGGAATTCGCGCGAAACCACAGCGGGAGCATCGAAATGCAACGGAATTCGCGCGAAACCACAGCGGGAACATGGAAATGCTACGGAATTCGCGCGAAACCACAGCGGCAGCATCGAAACGCAACGGAATTCGCGCGAAACCACAGCGAGAGCATCGAAACCAAGGCCCCGTCCCACCGCGCGCGCCGTTGCGGTCGGCAACCTAAGTGGCCCCCCCAGAAGAGGCCTGAAGAGGCCACGAGAGGCCGGAATTCGCGCGAAACCACAGCGGGAGCATCGAAATGCAACGATTTTCGCGCGAAACCACAGCGGCAGCATCGAAACGCAACGGAATTCGCGCGAAACCACAGCGGCAGCGTCGAAACCAAGGCCCCGTCTCACCGCGCGCGCCGTTGCGGTCGGCAACCTAAGTGGCCCCCCCAGAAGAGGCCGGAAGAGGCCACGAGAGGCCGGAATTCGCGCGAAACCACAGGGGGAGCATCGAAATGCAACGGAATTCGCGCGAAACCACAGCGGGAGCATCGAAACGCAACGGAATTCGCGCGAAACTACAGCGGGAGCGTCGAAACCAAGGCCCCGTCCCACCGCCGCGCGCGCCGTTGCGGTCAGCAACCCATTCCTTTACTCTAAACGTAATAACCCCATTGTGCAAGACTGTTGGGGGAAAAACTCCCAAAACCCCAACACCCCAACACCCCAAAACGCCCAAAACGCCCAATACCCCAAACCCCCAAAACCCCAAAACCTCAAAACCCCAAAGCCCCAAAACCCAAGAACCCCAAAAATCCCCGAAAAAACAAAAAAACGAAACCCAAAACCCCAAAACCCCAAAACCGCAAAACCCCAAAACCCCAAAACCCCAAAACCACAAAACCCAAAACCCTAAACAAGAAAGGTGCCTCTGATCCTCTGGCGTGTTGGGCAGAGAGAACTCCGGCGGCACCGCGTCCACCATGAGCTCCTGACCGCTTTTTTTGTACGGCACCTTGTGAAAAAAAACCTAAGCCCTAGGCCCTAAACCCTAAACCCTAAACCCTCAACCCTAAACCCTAAACCCTAAACCCCTAAACCCTAAACCCTACACCCCCTAAACTCCCAAAGCCCCAAAACCGACTTCCGCATGCTCTGGGCAGCCCTGTCACCACATGATTTGGGTTTAGGGTTTAGGGTTTAGGGTCTTTGGTACGGAGTTGGGTGAAGTTTTTTGTTTATAGACCCAGGAATCATATGATTTCAACAAGCGTACCCAGAACGCAGGAAGCAAGGACACCACTGAACTTCCTAGCATGGGAGCCCAGAACAGGTCGGCCCAAACCCGACGCCCGAACCCCGAAGCCCTAAACCCAAAAGCCTAGCCCTGAACCCTAAACCCTTAACCCAAGTCCCATGCTCCAACGCCCAGCTGCCATAGGTAAGATACGGAGTGAACTACTCGCCCAAAAGCCCTGAACCTCAAGCTTCATACCCTCGCGTGCCCTAAACCCTAAACCGTAAACCCTAAACCCTAAACCCTAAACCGCTGGCAGGCAGAATGGCCTGGTACCACAGCGACCTACCTTTTTATCGCCGTCAGGGAGTCCAGAGGGAGGGCTACCAACCCTAAACCCTAAACCCTAAACCCTAAACCCTAATCCCTAAACCCTAACCCAAAAAAAACCGGCGTTCGGATGTCGGGGTCGGGAGCTCGAGGTCCATGTTCGGTCTTCGGTTCGTGGATCCGGGAGGGCAACGTTACAGAGTTTAGGGTTTAGGGTCTAGGGTTTAGGGTTTAGGGTTTAGGGTTTAGGGTTTAGGGTTTAGGGTTTAGGGTTTAGGGTTTAGGGTTTAGGGTTTAGGGTTCCGGCTTAGGGCTTAGGGTTGAGGACTCCCAAAAACACTAGGTACCAGCCTAGCTTAGGAATCGGGCAGCCTTTGTGTCTAAGGGGAGAAGAAGGCATGAGGGACCACTACTCTGGGTCCAAGAACGTTTAGCGTTCAAGCCCTACGAAACCCGCAAGACGCCCGTAAGCCCTAGAGCCTTAGGCTCAATAAACTCTTAACCCTAAACCCGAAACCCGTAAACCGTAAACCCTACGCCCTAAACCCTAAACTCAAGAACTCCTCCTGCAAAGACACAACCTTATTTTGGAGTAGACCCTGGAAGAAGGTGTATACTTTTTGAGTAGAAGTAGCCAGAGATAGGAACCCCAGAACCAACAAAAGTAATAAAGCATACCACTCCAAAAGCCTACACCCTAAACCCTAAACCCGAAACCCTAGACCCTAAACCCTAAACCCTAAACCCTAAACCCTAAACCTACAGTACTCCAAAAGCCAGAGAGGACAACTGGCCTCCGCTGCTTCCACTTCCGCCGTGAGGTCCATCAGCTGGGCGACCCTGGGCGGTTTGGGGGTTTAGGGTTTAGGGTTTAGGGTTTAGGGTTTAGGGCTTAGGGCTTAGGGTTTAGGGTTTAGGGTTTAGGGTTTAGGGTTTAGGGTTTAGGGTTTAGGGTTTAGGGTTTAGGGTTTAGGGTTTAGGGTTCCGGGCTCAGGGCTTAGGGCTTAGGGCTTAGGATTGGTTGAGGGGTTTGGGGTTGGGGCAGGGTTTAGGATTTGGGGGTTTTGGGTTGAGGGTTTAGGGTTTAGGGTTTAGGGTTTAGGGTTTAGGGTTTAGGGTTTAGGGTTTAGGGTTTAGGGTTTAGGGTTTGGTAGGTCGGGTTTGGGAGTTGGGGGCTTTGGGTTGAGTGTTTTAGGGCTTTGGGGTTTAGGGGTTTGGGGTTGAGGTACTGCCTGGGAATCTGTTTCCACACAACCGTGTTTGGGCAATACCTACTAACTGAAAAGGAACTTGCAACTGATCTGTAGGTAGAGTTGCACGTAAGAGTTTAGGCCTTAGGGTTCACAATCTTGGGGGGTAGGACTTACGATCTCTCAGGGTGAGGGTTATGTGAGAACAACCCCCCCTCGAAAAAAATACGATCCTAAAATAGTCATGGCAAAATCATAGCGGTCCCTAAATTGGGGTGTTGCGATTAGGGTTTAGGGTTTAGGGTTTAGGGTATAGGGTTTAGGGTTTAGGGTTGCAAAAGCAATGGGCCCGCCCGGCCAATCACACTTTACCGCTTGAGGGTTTACTTGGACGCTCAGGGTACTTATAACCTCATTACAAGTGCAGGGTTTAGGGTTTAGAGTTTAGTGTTTAGGGTTTTGGGGTTATAGTATAGTAGTTATAACCCACTTCTAAGCCCGCAAGTACCCCAATAGGGTTACAATTGGGTTATAAGGACAGCTGGAACTGGGTTATTAAGTACGTAGGGCTTCGAGAGTTTTAGTTCTGGAGCAGTTGACCAAAGTGGGGGTTTACGCGAATAAGGGGCCCATATAGACTCCCAAAACAGTAGGATTCCCTTTTCAAGGACCAATAAGGTACCCCTATTATCGAAAAACCCCCAAGTAGGGACCTGTACCCACCGAAAGAATGAACGGTAGGCAAACATTGCAGCTTATTTCCGGTTCAAGTAGGCTCTTGCATCTGAAAAAACCCTCCAGAGAATGCCTTGAAGCCCTAAACCCTAAACCCTAAACCCTAAACCCTAAACCCTAAACCCTAAACCCTAAACCCTAAACCACCCATGAAGCACGCCCGAGGTTTTGGACTTCGCAGGTGCATCTCTCTTGGACATGCTGCATGCACAGTTCAAAAGAGCTGTGTTCCGGCTCACCCTACACCCTAAACCCTAAACCCTAAACCCTAAACCCTAAGCCCTAAGCCCTAAACCCAAAACCCTAAACAAACTTAAAATCCCTTGAGAAGGTTCACCTTCGACCTCCCACTTGGTGGGCCGACTGCGGCCACCTTCACCCTGGGTGGCTTTGCGGGGGGTTTACCAGGGCCGAGGCATCTTAAGGGCACCACAAAAGAGGGATCCCACCGCAACCCTAAACCCCAAACCCTAAACCCTAAACCCTAGAGAACCACAGCTCGCAAGGCTTCGATCAGTCACCGCAGAAACAGGTCTCTCCCCCTCTCATTCATCGTCCTTCTTGGATTGGCTCTTGGCAGCTTCCCGCAACACCTGCAGGGCTTAGGGTTTAGGGTTTAGGGTTTAGGGTTTCGGGTTTAAGGTTTAGGGTTTAGGGTTTAGGGTTCAGAGTGTTTTGAGCTTACTCTAGGGGCCTTCATAATTAAACTAGGCGTTTTTGTTATGGGGGGCGGGGGGGGTTTACTATAGTTACCAAGAGGCCATACGGGAATACCATTAGTAATTATTCCGACCCCTTCTTTTAGGGCTTCAGCGTTCTTCCCCTACTTTGCAACCGCAGTCTAAAGAGCAACCCAGGCGTTCCAGGTCCCCTGAGCCCTAAGCCCTGAGCCCGAAGCCCTAAGCCCTACGCCCTAAGCCGCAAGCCCTAAACCCTACCCCGAAGCCCTGAGCCCTAAAGCCCCTAGGTTCGGAATCCCCTACACCGCAGGTCTAAGGACCGGAAAGAACTTAACAAGAGAATGCAATCAAAAATAGTAAAATAACGTGGCTCTCTGGAACCAATAGACCAACAAGCCCAAACACCAACCAGAAACTTCTTGAGCTCCCAGAGCCCTGAAAAGCAAAAACTGAGCTCCAAACTCCAAGGGTTTGGGGTTTGGACTCCGTTTTAGAGTTTAGGAATGAGGGCCCTGCCCCCCAATAAACTGATCCGAAAAACACTCCTAAGCTCCCCCAACAAAAACAACAACTGAACTCCACCGAACCCTAACCACCCCCCACCCCTCCCCCAAGAACACCCAAACCAAAACCTCTCTCTCATGCTTCGAGGCATGTTCCAGCTTGGGCGGTTTGGAGGTTAGGGTTTAGGTTTCTGGTTTCGGGTTTCGGGTTTAGGGTTTAGGGTTTAGGGTATAGGGCGTCTTCAAGCCACAGGTTGATGATGCCCGGGCCCCCAAACCCCCAAAACCCTTTGCTATTTGCTGGGCGTTTCTTCGCTTCGCCTCGACCACGTGGCTGTTGAGCGTGCCCTCTGCATGATCTTGCGCAGTCTGGCCGTTCTCGTCGGTGGTGTGAACCTTGCCAGAAGATTCTGAGGGTTTAGGGTTTAGGGTTGAGGGTTTAGGGTTTAGGGTTTTGGGTATTGGGTTTTGGGTTTTAGGGTTTAAGCCTTATGCTATTTAGGTTCGTGGCCCTTTTTTGCTCTAAGGTGGCATCTGGCCGGGATCCCTGCTTTGCCCTCAAAGAACGGGGTTTTGGGTTTAAGGTTTAGGGTTTAGAGTTTAGGTCTTCTAAGCGAGAGAAACAGGAATTGTCATCTGTTGTTTAGGGCTTGGGGCTTAGGGCTTAGGGCTTCGGGCTAGGGTAGGGTCCTAGACCCCACATCCTGAAGCCAGTCGAGGTGCATTTGCGCCATGGGCAAGGAGGGTCTTCACGCAGAGCATCTGCCTCGCATTGGTGGAAGCGAGATGAGGGTTTAGGGTTCTTCCTCGGTGGAAGCGGAAGGTGTCGGGTATAGGGCTTGGGGTTTAGGGTTTCAGCGGCTTCGCGGTTTAGGGGTTTAGGGTTTAGGTTTGGGGGTCCAGGCCTAGGGTTTAAGAGTTAGAGTTTGGGGTTAGGGGAAAACGGGTTGAGGTCCAGGGTTGAGCATCTGGGGCTTAGGGCTGCGCATTTGGGGCTTAGGGCAATGGCAGCTCCTCTCTGCGGTCATGACTCAACCCTAAACGCTCGACCCTAACCCTAAACCCGAAACCCTAGACCCTAGACCCTAAACCCTAAACCCTAAACCTGCGTGGCTGCATGAAGCCTTCGGGGGGCCTCAGGCCTTTCAAACGTGGGGGCTTTGAGGGTTTTACGGGCTTCGGGTTTGGGGTTCAGGCTTTAGGATTCAAAGGGTAAGGGGTTTGTTGTCTGGGCTTCGGGCGCAAGGGGGTTTTAGGGTGTGAGTTGAGGGTGTAGGGTTGAGGAATGAGGGTTGAGGGTGGTCTTGGGGTTCAGGGCTGAGGGTGCTTGTGGGGACCGACCCCCTAAACATCCATACCACCCACGAATCACAGCCGACCACTCTCCTGTCAGGATGTCTTGTAGCAGCACTCGCATTAAAACCTTGTCCGGGCTCAGGGTACCCTAAATCCCCTAAGCCCTAGGCCATACAGCCTACAACCTAAACCCGAAACCCTAAATCCCAAGCCGTAATTCCCAACCCCTAACCCTAAACCCTAAACCCTAAACCCTAAACCCTAAACCCTAAACCCTAAACCCTAAACCCTAAACCCCTCAAGCCCTAGGGTTGAGTCGGGCCCCAGGTGGATCCCAAGCCACGGAGCGTTCTAAGCTTACTCTAAGCTTAGGGTCTCTTTTTCTTGAGGTTTGGGTTTAGGGTTTAGGGTTTAGGGTTTAGGGTTTAGGGTTTAGGGTTTGGGGTTTAGGGTTTAGGGTTTAGGGTTTAGGGTTTAGGGTTTAGGGTTTGGGTTTTGGGTTTTGGGTTTTGGGTTTGGAGTTCAGGGTTTGCAGCTTAGGGTGTGTGGTTTAGGGTTAGGGTTGACGGTTTAGGGTTGAGGGTTTTTTGGGCTTGGCGTGTCCTTATATATGAAAAGGTCCGCAAAGAAGGCGGACCCTTATCACTCTACCCTCAAGCGCGATCAGTAGTGATAATGAGGACCCCAATAAGGTACCCCGAATACCGTAAACCCCAACCCTAAACCCTAAACCCAGAGGATAATTGGGACAAACCCCCAGGTGAGTGGCTGGTTCATGGCGGCCCAAATCAGCGCGGTCTCGCCACGGGCGGTCCTAGATTCCTTACAGGAGGCGGCCGGGACAACTGCAAAGCCCAAAATCTTGGGTTTAGGGTTTAGAGTTTGGGGTTGGGGTTTAGGGTTTGGGGTTTGGGGTTTGGGGTTTAGGGTTTAGGGTTTGGGGTTTGGGGTTTGGGGTTTGGGGTTTGGGGTTTGGGGTTTGGGGTTTGGGGATCAGGTTTATAGGGTTAAGTCGAACTTTGGGCTTGGAGCTCAGGATTTCTGGAAACTTACGCCATGGAGTTTTGGGGGTTTCGGGCATGGGGTTAGGGTGTGAGGTTTCAAGCACCCCAAACCCCAAACCCTAAACCCCAAACCCCAAACCCCAAACTCCAAACTCCAAACTCCAAACCCCAAACCCTACTAACCTGGCTTTGGTTGTACCTTTGGGCTTTGAGGCGCAGGATACCCTAAGCCCTAAAGGAATACGTGGCCGCAGTTCCCGTCGCCCCTGGACTGCTTTGGGGGCTTAGGGTTTGCTATACTCCCCTTAGAACCTTAATAAAAACACTATGGTTTAATATCCTCGGGGGTTTTATATAAACAACAAATATCCTCTTGGGTTTTATATAAACAAAAGTATAAACAACAATAAATCCCAAGGGGGATATAGTTTGAGCCGGTGTCAATCGGGCACTTCAGCTCGATCAGGCTCGTGACGAGCTCATGGTTGCCAGCCTCCGGCGGGCTTCAGGGTTTAGAGCCTAGGGTTTAGGGGGTTTACGGTCTAGGAGTTTAGAACTGAGAGCTTTGGGTTTAGAGTTTAGGGTTTAGAGCTTCGGGTTTAGGGGTTTACTGTTTAGGAGTTTAGGTGGGGGTTGGGGGCCAGGGTTTAGGGGTTAAGGAGCTTAGATAGGGCTTGGGGTTTAGGGTCTAGGGGTTTAGAGTTGAGGGCCTAGGGTTTAGAGTTTAGGGTTTGGGCTTTACGGTTGAGCTTATTAGGGTTTAGTGTTGAGGCTTCTGACACCCTAAACCCGAAACCCTAAACCCTAAAACCCTGAACCCTAAACCCTAAACCCTAAACCCAGTTTGGGGCCTAGGCTGAACCACGCGAGCCGCCTGCACGGCGCAGAAGAGGGCCGTCTGGCCATCCTCATCCTGATGCTCCACCTGGGAGGGGCTCAAGTAGGGTTTAGGGTTTAGGGTTTAGGGTTTAGGGGTTTAGGGGTTTAGGGGTTTAGGGGTTTAGGGGTTTAGGGGTTTAGGGGTTTAGGGGTTTAGGGGTTTAGGGGTTAGGGGTTAGGGGTTAGGGGTTAGGGTTTAGGGTTTAGGGTTTAGGGTTTAGGGTTTAGGGTTTAGGGTTTAGGGTTTAGGGTTTAGGGTTTAGGGTTTAGGGTTTAGGGTTTAGGGTTTAGGGTTTAGGGTTTAGGGTTTAGGGTTTAGGGCTCCTGATGCTCCACCTGGGGAGCTCTCGAAGAATTCGGGTTTTATAGGGGTTTAGGGGTCTAGTGGTTAGGGTTTAGGGTTTTCGGGTTTTGGGGTTTGAGGATTCTAGGGCCTAGGGTTTTGGGGTTTTAGGGTTCTAGCAGTTCAGGGGTTTAGGGTTTAGGAGGCAGCGCTCTTACTTCTGGTGCTGTTTGTTCCCCGAGGGGACGTCCCAAATATAGACTCACCAATCTCCCCTGGACCCCCACATGGACCCCCACATGCACTCGCCCGAGTCCGAGTAATGTAGGGGTTTAGGGTTTAGGGTTTAGGGTTTGGGGAGTTTAGGGTTTGGGGAAAGCATTGAGGCGCCCTGCTTTATGTAATTAAGCCCCTTCTAAGCCCTAAACCCAAAACCCAAAACCCTGAACCTAAACCCTAAAACCTGAACCCTAAACCTAAACCCTAAAACCTGAACCCTAAACCCTAAATCCTAGACCCTAAGCCCTAAACCCTAAACCCTAAACCCTGAACCGATTCGTGGGCTGGCGTTGCAAGAATGTCGAGCTCCGGCTCGGTCAGCTTCGGGAGGGAGTTCAGGGCTTAGGCTTTGCAGGTTGTAGGTTCCGGGATAGGAAGTTTGTGGAGTAGGGATCCTAAACCCTAGCCCCAAACCCTAAACGCCAAACTCTAAACCCTGATCCCTAAACCCTGAACCCTAGACTCTCATGCATAGCCGGCACCTTTGCGCCCTTGCTGATCAGGAACTTGCAGATCTCCTCGGGGCTACTCCGGCTTCGAGGTGTCTTTGTCCGATTCTACGGCTTGTACTTTTGCTGGGGTCCCTTAAGGGAGGGTTTTGAGTTCAGGGTTTAGGGCATAGGGTTTAGGGTTGAGGGTTGAGTCACATTGAGGGTTTGGGGTTTAGGGTCTGGCCTTTCACAGGGTGTCTGCCTTTTGTGCCAGCAGAAGTCCGAAAGAAACTCTGAAAGACCCTCAGCCCCCAACCCAGAACGCCTATGTAAGCACCTAGCCACCACCTGAAAAACCTTAAACCCCCCAAAAGCCTAAACCCCAAAAGGCACAAAAGCCCCAAAACCCTTGAACCCGAACCCCCTGAAAAACTCACCCCGAAACCCTAAACCCTAAACCCCCAAAGGCCCCTCCTGGCGCCCGAACTGGGCGGCGAGTAGGAGAGCCGTCCTTTGGTGGCATCTTGTTTGGGCTTCGGGGGTTTAGGGTTGAGGATTGAGGGTTGAGGATTGAGGGTTTAGGGTTTAGGGTGTGGGGTCTAGGGTTTAGGGCTCAGTGTTCAGAGTTTGGGGTTTAGGGTTTAGGGCTCAGGGTTTGGGGCAATCGGCGCTTGAGGCATGGGGATTGGCAGGGATTGGGGTCTCTAGATTTAGGTGTGCTTCGTGCTACAAACTCAAAAACCTCTTACTCCAAACCTTCAGACCTGAACCCAAAACCCTGAAATTCGAAAACACTTGACCAAGCTGAACATGCCCAGACACTTCCCCTGCTTGGTGACCTGGTCCACCTTGGCGTCCTGGCTTTCGGCAAGCTTGCTGAAGAAAAACCCTAAAACCCTAAACCCCAAATCTTGGAAGAAAAAAACTGCGCAACTTAGGGACCTCTTGAAGCGGAATTTTGGTATGTTGCTACAGCTGCAGTAAAGGGGGTGGGTACCCTCTCTTTTTTTGTTGGTGGGGGGGGGGGGGGAGAGTGGGTTCCTATAATGAGCGTTGCAGCCATTTGGGGCAGATGAGGGGTAGCCCGATTTGGGAAAAAACACTCATCTCATACAGGGGTTGAAAGGGGGTCATACTAGTCAGCAAAGGCTCCGATACCATTGTGTACCCCCCCCCCACCCCCCCCCCCCCCCCCCCCCCCCCCCCCCCACCTCAACCCTCACCCTCCACCTGGATACCAAACCCCTGCAACCCCCTTCAGACCCTTAAAACGCCCCGAACACGAACAGAAACTTAAAATAGAACCTAATGCTCCTTACAGGCCCTAGAAGGCACAAGTCACGAAACAAACACCGGAAACCCCAAACCTAAGCCCCAAACCCTAAACCCCAAACCCCGAACCCTAAACCCCAAACCCCAAATCCTAAACCCCAAACCCTAAAACCTAAACCCTAAACCCCAAACCCCAAACCCTAAACCCCAAACTTCCCAAACCCCCAAACCCTGAACCCCAAACCCTAAACCCCAAACCCTAAACCCCAAACCACAAACCCCAAACCCTAACCCTAAACCCTAACCCCAAACCCCAAACCCTAAACCTAAACCCTAAACCCCAAATTTCCCAAACCCCAAACTTCCCAAACCCTAAACCCCAAACCCCTAAACCCTAAACCCTAACCCCTAAACCCTAAACCCTAAACCTTAAACCCCTCCGCGCCTTCTTCACCAGGCCCGTCACGGTGGCCAGGTGGCCCTCCGAGGCGGCCCACATCAGGGCGGTCTGGTGGTGCTGATCCAGCTGATTCACCTGGAGCGTTTTGGGGTTTAGGGTTTAGGGTTTAGGGGTTTAGGGTTTTGGGGTTTAGGGTTTAGGGTAGAGGCTTTAGGGTTTAGGGTTGAGGGTTGAGGGTTTGGGGTTTGGGGTTTGGGGTTTGGGGTTTCGGGTTGGGGTTTAGGGTAATGCTTTGGAGATTGAAGGTGGGGGTTTAGGGTTTGGGGGTTCATGGCTTCGGGCTTGGGGTTTAGGGGTTTCGGGGTGCACAAGTCACAAGTCCCTACGAGTCTTGCGATGGATCCAGGAACGAGTTTCGGCTGATTGCAGGCTTCGGATAGTTCAGAGGCGGCTGCAGATCAGGCATTAGAGTTTAGGGTTTAGGTTTTAGGGTTCAGGAACCCTACGTCCTACCCCCTAAACCCTAAACCCTAAACACTGAGGGTGCCTTGGCCCCCTCCGTTATCAGGAACTCGCACACGTCCCAATGGCCGTTGGCCGCTGCTTTCATCAAAGCCGTCTCTCCTGGCTTCGAAGTTGTAGGGAATGAGGGTTGGGGGCTTTGGGGGTTTAGGGTTTAGGGTTTAGGGTTTAGGGTATAGGGTATAGGGTATAGGGTTTAGGGTTTAGGGTTTAGGGTTTAGGGTTTAGGGTTTAGGGTTTAGGGTTTAGGGTTTAGGGTTTAGGGTTTAGGGTTTAGGGTTTAGGGTTTAGGGTTTAGGGTTTAGGGCTTAGGGCTTAGGGCTTAGGGCTTAGGGCTTAGGGCTTAGGGCTTAGGGCTTAGGCTTAGGGCTTAGGGCTTAGGGCTTAGGGCTTAGGGTTTAGGGTTTAGGGTGTAGGGTTTAGGGTTTAGGCTTTAGGGTTTAGGGTTTAGGGTTTAGGGTTTAGGGTTTGTGCCGCTGTTGCTAGTGACTGTCAAAAGTCGTGCTCGCGAATTCAAACGTGCATGCATGCTAAAAGAGAATTTAGCGCGCAAGTCTCAACACCAAACTTCAACCGACACTCCACACCGCTTTGAATTGCACGGTTTTCGGTTTGTCCATGCATATCACAAGCCGTCGGCTCAATGGACCCGTTAATCTTATATTTATAACAGTACGAAATGCATGGAATTACAATAGTGTTTTCTTCACTGTAATTTATTAGGAGAATTATTCACTCTGTTCATAGCATTATATTACTACAACTAATCACGTGTTCCCTCACTGGCTTCTCTGGGCCGCCCCGGTAAAATAGGATGTGATTGAATGCCCCGAATTAAAATTTAGTTCTTTGGTTCACTTCATTATTATATTTACTGGAATTCTATTAATATTTAGCTGTGTGAAGAGAACTCACTTCTATTATCTTGTTTCACTACTTTTCATATAATATTTTCCATCACCAGGAATTACCAAGGAGTTAGCATTAACTTCCTCACTCCTGAAGACCTTTTACTATTAACCATTCAATCCCCCAGTACAAGGAAACTAGTGAATGAAGTGTGAACGAATACAGTTCATGTTTTCATTTCGTACTTACTTCTTTCTTATCTTTACATGAAATTGCTAATGTAAAGTGAAGAGAGCACAATATTAATATTGGTAATGAAACGCAGTGAAAGCACGCAATATTCATAGAGTGTGAACGAAACACGAACGAAACATGCGCACGTGTGAAAAGAACTTTGGTGCGCATTAATTGTATTCGTATTCACTTCATGCTAATACTTATTGCCCCGGGCCCCTATTATTACTATTAAATGCCCGGGATATTAAGAGAATAATATTATAACAAGGCATGAAAGTAGTATGAAGAGAATACGAATGAATTCATTAATAGAACTTCTGTATCTGCGGGCTTCGTTCTCTTATTTCTCCCGCGGTAGTAAGAATACTATTAATAGTATAATCCTGGTGTTCACTGTATTCGTTCACTTAATTTATTCACATTATTATCTTCACTTCATAAAACCCCAAGCCTTTTTACTTCCATCCCAATATTAAGAGGGGCTAGAGACAAGATACGTCCATAAAGGATTAAAGGTGCGATCGTAAAGTCCTATTAATAGTATTCTCCACACGCTTCGCTTTCTTGTAATCACTCACTCTTTTACTTATTTTACTTATTATCCCGCGCAAATGAAAAGAACAAGTAAACGCCCGGACAATAGTAATACTAATAATGCTCTCTAGACCCTGGAATCCATCCCACCTGTCAGTCTTGCCCATGAATCCGCCCTTGAGACCCTGTTAACGCCTGGTCTAGTTTCTGGGGTCTTGCGCTGTGTTCCCCTTTTTCCTCTCTTCACTAGTTCACTCATTTAATACTATTACAAGGGACGCATGAATAGTATTAAAGTGAGTGCACGCGTGAAGGGGAAAAGGACACCAAGAAAACGCCCAATCAAAACGAAGTGAAAAAGCGCGCATTCTTTGCCTTTTCCCTTCATTTATATATTGGTGTTTTTCGTACACTCACTTCCATCACTCATTCCCCCTTAAAAGGCTTGGAATCATGAGGGAAGTGAGTCAAGAGTGAAGAAAACCACAGACTCAATGAATGATTCCTGGTGAACGAAGTCATAATATTAATACAGCATTATAAGGAGTAAAAAGACGCATGCATGCTGTAATAATATTATAACGAAGTGAGGGAGTGAATGAACGAGGTGAATTCACGTACAGGATGAAGAGAATATTTTTAAAGGGGACCGTATTTCGTACGTTCTTGCCGTGAGCATTAAACGGCCCCTTTAAAGTACCATTTTGGGAGATCTTTTCATGCGATTTAATAGAGAACGAAGTGAATCATTAGACGCCTTTATAAAGTACTATTTGGCCGCTTACTAAACGACCATATAATTTTATCTTAAATTGTAAGGAATGAAGTGAATGAAGTGAGTGCAATGACGCACGACTTTAACAAAAAAAATGGGCTTTTAACGGGCTAGTAATTTAGTATATGTTCATGCGTAATCCTTATAAAATATACTAAATTATAAGCCCGTACAATATTATTATTATCGCGGCTTGCCGAATAAACTTATTGCCGCGTGTACAGACAATAGAATCATAGCACGAAGTGTGTGAAAGAGCGAATACACTGAGCGAAAGAACACAACGAAGTACACCCCAGAAAATAAGAAGACAATAATGCAATGTCAAGATACGACCATAAGATAGAGAGGTTGTCTACAGGAAATTGACCACCTATCCAAATAAAAGAAAAAAGGTGAAAGAAACCAAAAGCACAGATAAAAACCATTAAATCTACTGGACATCTTAATTATAAAATAGAATGACATTGAACTGACTCCTGGTGAATCCACCCCTCCCCACGGGCACGCAGGACTTGGCCTGGGGGGCCGGGGTGTGCCGTCGCCATTTCCGGGTAGCAGACCTGGGGCGCCGTGCCCAGGCCCCGTGTTAATTCACGTGTCTCCATGGAAGCAGGTTAGGTCGGTTAGGTTTACCATCCCCACCGAAGTGTGCTTGCTCAATACACATCAATCGGTATACCTGCGCCACCCGCTCCGGTCCTGAGTCAGTACGGGTCCGCTTCGATGTCACAGCCATGGCCTTGGGAAGTGGGTCTGGTGCACAGTGGCTACAGCAAACGCCGCACAGGGTGACTATGAAACCAGCATTCTGCACCCGACGAAACACCGGCCTCCGCCACAAGGTTTTCCATTGCCACCAAGCGCGCCTGGGAAAACCGTCCAGAGTCCAGACCGAATGAACTGCATGAGCCGAGTCACATCTCCATGGCCTCCTCCCATGAGGCCCTGACCATGCTTTCCTGCCTGGACTTGCAGAAATCGAGGGCTAAGTTTGCACAAGGTGCTCGGGTTGCTCAGGTCACATGCCACTGCGTGCAAGACTCTCGCAAAAGCATGGCCGGCGCTCCTTCCCTTAAGATCGGAGGGCTTTCGCGCGCTATCCCAGGGCAAGAACTGGGGGGCGGGCGCTCATCAGAAGGCCTCCCCACCGACAACTGCGCGCACGTCATCGTCATTCACCCCCATGGGAAGGGCTACTTCGGTGTTAGTTGGGCGCTGGCGGAACCTATGCGGCTCGGTAGACATAGGCGGGCCCCTCCACGGACAGTTGGCATCTGCCCGATACAACCGTACGATGCAATCTCACGGTAACTCCCCCATCTGGGTCGCGCTCAGAGCTCTAGGCACATGCCCGCAGCAACGTACAAGATGCCAGTCACAACCCCTAGGACCTCGCGGGCACACTTGCCGGGAAGTGGATCAAAAAAATTTGTTTGGGAGCAAAAGTAATTTATTTATAGGCGGGTCAAAAAAACCTTATTTGGGATCAAAAAATAATTTACTGGAGGTCGAAGGCCTGTTGCAAGCGGAGCGGGGGCTGTAAACGCTCAGAAATGCATCGTTTCTGGCCGTTCGCAAGCTCTAAATACAGAAAAAACACAGCAGCTATGTGGGAACTACTGAAAATAGCAGCATTTCTGAGTTTAGAGAGACTGCAGATACTGTACATAGCCGCAGTTCTGTGCTTTCAGAGGCTGGAAATACTGTACCCCGCAGCATTTCTGAGTTTCCAGAGGCTGCAGATGCGGTAAATACCAGCATTTCTGCGCTTTCAGAGGCTGGGAATACTCTAAATAGCAGCATTTCTCAGCTTCCAGAGGCTGCAAATCAATGCTGGCATCTTGGCATTAGAAGTTTCCAAAAATGCGTACACTCTGAAGCAAGCCAGAACGATTAAAGAAAGAGCGGGGGGTTGGGGGGGGGCGCGCCCCCCCCCCGCCCCCCCCCCCACGCGCAAACACAATGCTCGCATCATGGGTTTCGAAAGTAAAGCGGGGGGGTTGGGGGGGGCACAGCCCCCCGACCCCCCAATTTGCAAACAAAAACGCTCGCATCAGAGGCGTCGAAAAGACGCATATGCTTTGAAGCAAGCTGGCACGACTTAAAAATAGCGGGGGGTTGCGGGGGCCCCCCCCTATTTGCAAACACAATGCTCGCATAATGGGTTTCGAAAAGATGCATATGCTTTGAAGCAAGCTGGCACGACTTCTTCCTTGCTTTCTTGCTTTTGCTATTGATTTCTTTTTACTTTCTTTTTTTCTTGACTTCTTCCTTCCTTCCTTCCTTTTCTTCCTTCCTTCCTTCTTTCTTTGCTTCCTTGCCTCCTTGCCTCCTTGCCTCCTTGCCTCCTTGCCTCCTTGCCTCCTTGCCTCCTTGCCTCCTTGCCTCCTTGCCTCCTTGCCTCCTTGCTTCCTTGCTTCCTTGCTTCCTTGCTTCCTTGCTTCCTTGCTTCCTTGCCTCCTTGCCTCCTTGCCTCCGTGCCTCCGTGCTTCCTTGCTTCCTTGCTTCCTTGCTTCCTTGCTTCCTTGCCTCCTTGCTTCCTTGCTTCCTTGCTTCCTTGCTTCCTTGCTTCCTTGCTTCCTTGCTTCCTTGCTTCCTTGCTTCCTTGCTTCCTTGCTTCCTTGCTTCCTTGCTTCCTTGCTTCCTTGCTTCCTTGCTTCCTTGCTTCCTTGCTTCCTTCCTTCCTTCCTTCCTTCCTTCCGTGCTTCCTTCCCTCCCCTTCCTTCTCACCCTCCCTCCCTCCCCTTCCCTCCTCTCCGTCAGAAGAACAGAATAAATTACTTCTTGATCCTAAATAGATTATTTGTTGACCCTAAATAAATTTGTTCTTGATCCTAAATAAGTTTTTTGAGCCGCATCCCTACTCGCCCTTCTTGTCTTTGAACTCGAACTTTTTGATGAAGGACCATTTGTATCCTTTTGCTCGGTCGTCGCCTTCACCATTTATAAACTCAGACTCCGGCCTCTTCGTGCGCCAGCCTTTTGATTCCCTTTTGACAGTGTCAGCACGGTAGACCGCTTTCTCCTCGACGAACTCCATAACCATCTTGATGGTGTCCTTCTCTTCTAGGAGGTGCGGGAGTGCGTCAACGATCTCCTTAAGGGTGTATTCAGACCAGTCATATTGCGAAGCGCACCTCGGCAACTGTGTCGACTGTTTTGTCTGTGTTCCAGTTGATCCAATAGTTGCCGACGGATGTTAATCCATCACCTGAAAACCGAATTATCACTGAAATTATCACCGAAACAACGAGCGTAAGGGCGTCGAAGAGGATGGTGTTCTTCTTCCTCCACCGCTTTGATGAGACGTTCTGGTAATCAAACGCGTCCGGGAACTTCTTGGTGATAGCATTCATGAGTTCCTCTTCGACGACACGACGTATGCCAGGCTTCGACAAATCACCTGTGCACTTATCTGTCACTGAGGAATCGAAGCTACCGAAGTCTGTGGATGCAATTCCGCCCGACTGGTAAGTCTCATAAAATTGCCTCATCCGCTCATTCACCCCGTGATGGTCCGTGCCCTTAATGCCTCGAAGCAAGAAGTAGGGCAGCCTAAAGATGGCTTCTTCAATGGTTTTGTTCATCAGGGATGCCATGGCTGTGCCTTTGGGGCCCATGTGTTGAATAGGCCTCGGTTTTACTTTCCCCAAGGTCTCGTTAGGCTTTACAAAAGCCGTGATGACTGGGGCTTTCTCAAGCTGAGCGCCTGACATGGCCTCGTAATTCTCATCAACCATGGATTCGGTAAAGCTGTTCGGCGCAATCTCTGAGATGAGTTTGTGGATCGGGAACATGGACTTTCCGTGACTCTCGGAGACAACGTCCGCCATAGGAATCTCTATTGCCGTGGCCTCAAGTCGTTTTATCTCTCGTTCGTCGATGTCCATGATGACTTTTACGACTTCGGCCGTGATCCTGTGGAGTGAACGTCTAATGATCTCGAGAGGATTCCCGACCTTGTTTTGTAGACTGTTCCCTCGCACTCGATCTCAGTCTCTTTTTGGGCGTAGTGTCGGTTCCCGATTGCTGCGATTGCGTTGCTGTGCGAGTTACATGCCACGTGTATCTTCGTCATGTCGTCCTCGTCGGTGACTCCTGGCATGCAAACTCGTGCTTTCGGGGTGACACCGTGTGTCTGAAGTAGTTGATCGTCGACAATGCAGATCTTGGCCTCACTTTCAAGCACCGCGAGCGCTTCATTCTTGATTGCGAGATCTTTACGCAAATCGACCTTGTCCCAGTCTACGATGACGCGGACATACTCGGCAGGTTGTCCGGTGAACGCAGTGGGGTACGGGACTAGAGGTGCTCCAACTTCAGTAAATCTTGACGCGGAAGGTGGGGCGGCGCCCCCACCCCCTTCGGGTTTAGGGTTTAGGGCTTAGGGTTTCGGATTTGGGGTTTAGGGTTTAGGGTTTAGGGTTTAGCATGTAGACTTGGTAGCCCAGTAACCAGATTATGAAAAGGGTACCCTTTTTGGGTTGGTTACTTGGAACCTAGAACCAAACAAGGGCAACAGGGCATTACTAACCTACCAAGTACAGGGCTGAGGGCTTTGGGTTTAGGGTCAGGGCTTACTTGGAGGTTCTTGGTACTTATTAACCAGTTATAGCTGCACTTACAACTGTACGTATAACCAGATTAGGGCACTTAAGGGGCTTATAAGCGGGTTAAGTACAGCTATGATTGGTTACTAAAGTACCATGAACCTCCAAGTACTATACTGATTTCGGAACCATAGCAAAATTGGAATTTTAGCCGTTTCTTAGTAACTATAGTACCCAAAATCTACAAAAACCATTCCCAACAATCCTTAAGCTTAGGGTTTAGGAGTTCCGGGTTGGGTTCAGGAAGTAAAGGCTCGAGGGCAGTGGGCTTGGGGCATCGGATCTCGAGATTCGGAGATCTGGGCGAAACCCTCACCCCTAAACACTAAGCCCTAAACCCTAAACCCTAAACCCGAAACGGGTTGTTCAGGGTCTCGGGTGCAGGGGTGTGAAAAATCCTAAGCCCTGGACCCTCAGTTCTCCTCTATACCCTAAACCTTAGACCCTGAACCCTAAAGCCTAAACCCAAGCCCTAAGTCCTGAACCCTCAGTTCTCCTTTCTCTGTGGCGTAGTCCGGCGACATGCCAAAGGTTCCCACCAGGAGCTCACAGATCCTTGCAGGTGTGCAGGGTGCACATGGCTTGATGTGTTGCTTTTCAGGGTTTAGGCTGTGGGTTTAAGGCTTAGGGTTCAGGGTTCAGGGTTTAGGGCTCAAGGTTTGGGCTTTTTAGGGTTAGGGCTTAGGGTTTAGGGCTTTGGGGTTTTTAGCTTGTTTAGGACTTTGACGGTTTGGGAGGGTACCTGTGCCGGAGGAGGATCCTCAAGATTCTCCATACCCTATCCCGAATCCCCAAGAATACCCCGGAGCTACAACCCTCAAACCCCTCAGCTCAAACCCCGCTTTGGGGCGTAGGAACCCTGAAACCCCCTCAGCTCAAACCCTAATTTTTAGTCAGGATTCAGGCCAACCTTGAACCCTAAACCCTATACCCTAAACCCTAATTCTGAACCCCCAGACCCTAAACCCTAAACCCTAAACCCTAAACCCTAAACCCTAAACCCTGAACCCTGAACCCTGAACCCTGAACCCTGAACCCTGAAAGCCCAAAGTCATAATCGAACCGGGCACTCGAAGTGGCCGCTCAGCGCCGACCACATCAGCACGTCCCATCCTGGTCTCTTTGGGGGTATAGGGTTTAGGGTTTAGGGTTACTAGGGTTTAGAGTTACAAGGGTTGCAAGGGTTAGGGTTACAAGGGTTACAAGGGTTACAAGGGTTACAAGGGTTACAAGGGTTACAAGGGTTACAAGGGTTACAAGGGTTGCAAGGGTTACAAGGGTTACTAGGGTTTAGGGTTTAGTTACTAGGGTTACTAGGGTTACTAGGGTTACTAGGGTTACTAGGGTTACTAGGGTTACTAGGGTTACAAGGGTTACAAGGGTTACAAGGGTTACAAGGGTTACTAGGGTTACTAGGTTACTAGGGTTACTAGGATTACTAGGGTTACTAGGGTTACTAGGGTTACCAGGGTTTAGGTTTAGGGTTACTAGGGTTACTAGGGTCACTAGGGTCACTAGGGTTACTAGGGTTACTAGGGTCACTAGGGTTACTAGGGTTATTAGGGTTACTAGGGTTACTAGGGTTACTAGGGTTACTAGGGTTACTAGGGTTACTAGGGTTACTAGGGTTACTAGGGTTTAGGTATTGGGGATTCAGAATTTAAGGCTTGGGTTTTTGGCATCCTTCTCTTGTTTATGGGTGCGGGTAAGGAGGCATTCGTCGTCTCGGGTTTTGCCCTCAACCCTAAACCCTATTTGAACCCTAAACCCTGCCTACGCCATCAGGGGGTTAGGATTCTTAGTGGATTTGGGAGTTTAGTGCGCGAGAACGTGGCATTGAGCTTCTTCGGGCTCTTGGGTTGAGGGTTCAGGGTTTAGAGTTCATTGGGAGGCCCCAAGGACTCTAAGCAGAACCCGAACCCTAAACCCCATCCCGGGTACCCCTATGTTCGGAACACGCCCCCCGCCTCCCCTCCACAAAGGGTGCGGCTCTTTTGGGCTTAGGGGGTTTGAGGCGTCGGGCATGGAGTCGATCGGGATTTCGGCCGAAAGAAACCTTCGAAGTTTAGGGTTCCGGGGTTGCGTCCACCCCCTCAGGCCTAAATTCACTGCCAGCAAGAGCGCCCGAACCCTAAAGCCTCAACCCTAAACCCGAAAACTACCCTAGGCCCGAAAACTCTAAACCCTAAACCCTAAACCCTTTTTCCCTAAACCCTCGGTGGGGGCTTGAGGGCTCCCCACAGCCTTCGTCGTCCTTCAGGTCCAGGGAAGCTCCGTCGTCTGCCAGGATTTGCACCTGAACTCTGCTTTGAGGGTTTTCGAGAATTAACGGTTCAGGGTTTAGGGTCAGGGTTCAGGGTTCAGGGTTCAGGGTTTAGGGTTTAGGGTCTAGGGCGGAGGGGCGCAGGGAAAGTTAGGGTTTCGGGTTTGGGGTTTAAGCCGTCTCGCCACACAGCGGCGGCAAACGCCATGATAGTGGCGCCACAACCCACCCTGGTCCTGGGGGGGGGAGGAGGAGGAGGGGGCGTGCATAGAGCTGTCACAAATGGCTGACACCACCATCGAACAACCACAATCTGATTCGACATTGGCATCATCCCCGCAAGCGCTAAACCCCATCATCCCCCAAACCCTTAACCCTAAATGGCTCCAGGGCTGGTGCGCTTAGGGTTTAGGGATAGGGTTCCTAGGGTTTGTAGGGTTCGTAGGGTTTTTAGGGTTAGGGTTTAGGGTTTCGGGTTTCGGGTTTGGGGTTTAGGGTTTAGGGTTTAGGGTTTAGGGTTTAGGATTTAGGGTTTAGGGTTTAGGGTTTAGGGTTTGGTCCTTGGGTTTTGGGGATTCTCTGGTTTAGGGTTTAGGGTTCAGGGCCCTCTTTGGACTAGAAATCCAAAGCCTGCAAAACCCGCAAGCTATGAAATGTGTGAAGAATGAACCCTGGACTTGAAAAGGGTTTGCGGCTTAGGGTGTGTGGTTTAGGGTTCACGGTTAGGGTTTAGGGCTTCGGGCTTCGGGTTGAGGGTTTAGGGTTTAGGGTTTAGGATCAGACCCTCAACCCCCCCAAAACCCCCAACTTTAAGCCATAAGCTGTAACAAAAGCCTGAAACGCCAAGCCACGACGTCGCCCTCGCCCTGCTCGGCCGCTTTCATGAGGGCAGTCCTTGGGCACACGACGTCTTGGGTTCAGGCTTCGTTAGGGTAGTTTCCTAAATTAGGGGTACCCCAAAAAAGGGACCATCATTTAGGAAACTGCCCCTTGGGTTCTGGGGCTTCATAAAGAGGCATTTACGGCGGTATTTAGGGGCCACTTAGGTATATCATAGGGACCAAATAAATAGCGGTTATATACGCGAACTAGGGGTCCCTCCTTTTGTCCCTTAAAAATAGCCTAACACCCGAAGCCCTAAAGGCTAGGGCTTGTGCTTCAACGCATGCGGGGGGGAGGCGAAGAGAAAGGGGGCGGCTGAGGCAGTCCAAGCGGCACTCCTTCATCATCCTTCATGTCCAAGATGCGCTTCTTCTCACGCCTTTGGAGTGGGCTTCTGGCTCGAACCCTAAAGCCTAAACCCTAAACCCTAAACCCTAAACCCTAAACCCTAAACCCTAAACCCTAAACCCTAAACCCTATATAAACCCTAAACCCTAAACCCTGAACCTCAAACAGTAAAACCCAAAAAACCCAAGCCCCGGAAACCAAAAAAGCTAAGCCCTCAAACCGTTGCCCTTAAGCCCCTAAACCCCTAGACGCTAGAACCCTAAACGTTGGTTCGGTGTGGTTAGGGTTTAGGGTTTAGCGCTTGGGCTTTTGGCTTAGTGCTTGGAGCTTAGCGCTTAGGGCTTCGGGCCTAGGATTTCGGCCGAAACAACAAGCCCATGGCCTGAGCCCGGTTTAAGTCGCCTTCGCACTAGGTTTAGAGGTTTCGGGGTTTAGGGTTTAGGGTTTAGGGTTTGGGGTTTAGGGTTTGGGGTTTAGGGTTTAGTGTTAGGGGGGTGGGGTGGGGGTACCCGGGCAGGACAAAGGGGAAAAAACCCCCCCCCCCCCACCTACCCCCCCCCCCCCCCACCCCCCTACCCCCCCCCCCCCCCCAACGTTTCACAGAGGCTCAAGCAAATCAACTTTTGGCATCCTTTGAGCTGACGAGCGCGTTTAAACCTTTCAACTGTGCTCCAGCGGGGTCGGCGGCTTGAGCCGGAGGCTCTTAAATCCGGCCCCCGCGCCGCCCGTGGTCCAGGGCGGAGCCCGCGTCGCACTAAAGCGCTAGCTTTAAGGGGCGAGCGCCCGAGCCGCCGACCCCGCCCAAAATTGCTTCAAATTCGCGCGGGGCCCTTCGGGAGGCCTCCAAAACGGCATCCAAGGGGACGCAACACGCGGTGGTGCGAAAAGCACGAAAACCTCGCAAAAACCATGGGTTTTTACGAAAAACCGAGGCCACAAAACACCCGCAGCACCCCATTAAACCCTCACGGGCGCGCATCATCGGCCCTAGCTTTTCACATGGGGCGCGCGCCAGGCCGAAACCACGTTTTTCAAGGTTTGGGGGGGGTACCGGAAGCCCAAAACCAGGCGAGCATCATGAGCATCAGCAGCCCTGGCCCGCGGCCCCAAGGCAATAAAAAAAGGCTGAAAAACGCTGAAATCACCGTAAATACCGTGTTTTTGTGAGGTTTTTCACGCGTGCCTCCGACCCCCCACCCCTGTTGCCCTTGACCCGCCCCCAAAGTGCGCATCATCGAAACCCACGTCCGGGGGGGGTTCCAACAGCAGAAAACCTCGTAAATACCGAGTGTTTTGTGGGTCCACGTAAAAACGCCCCTAAAATCGCTCATTTTACGCGCTCGAACGGCTTCGTGCCTACAAAACACCCGAACAGCAGGACCCCCGAATGCCCTTAAGGGCATTAATTCGGGGTCTTGCTTTTGGGGGTTTCGTGGGCACGCAAGCGTTCAAGCACATACAATCGGCGTGTTTAAGGGGGTTTTGGATGGCCTGGGGGAGGCCGCTGATGCTCATGATGCTCCCTTTCCTGGGTCCCAAAAGGCTTCCCAAGCCCAAAAACACGTGTTTACAGCGTTTTCTGAAAGTTTTTCGAAGGCAAAACGCATGCATAGAATGCTTTTAAGGCCCCCAAACCAACCCCACTGATGCTCCTGATGCGGGTGCGCGCGCGCGCGCGCCGGGGGGGCGGGGGGGGAGGGAGGGGGGGCGAAGGCAGGAGAAAGAGAGACAGAGAGAAGGAGAGGACAAAGACACGGGAAAGAGAAGACAGTGCCAAGGTTCAAGGTTTCGTGCTTTGGGGGGCGGGGGCCGGCCCGTGCCGCTAGGCCTGAAATCCGGGCACGCCCGTGCTCCGACGCCGTTAGGCGCCAGCCCTAGCTTTAGCTACCCCGGGGGGGGCATATGCCGCCGACCCGGTTGGCTCCCCAACATCCGGCTCCAAATGCGGCTCCCGAAGGGCATCATGTTTCAGGTACAATTTTTATCGCGAAAAACGCGCTATTTCCCACCGAATTTGGGCTCCTGGACGCATTTTTTGGGCGCCCCATGGGGGGTCCCAAAAAACGACCCCGGAGAGCATCATCGACTCTCTTTTTCAACTTTGGCCAAATACGCGTTGTTGATGTTTTTTGGGTGGCATTGGCCACCCCAAAGGACCCCCACAAGAGCGCGCATCATGAGCATCAGCGGGTTGGGTCTCGGGTTTCGGACGCGGCTGAAAGCTTGGAAAACACAGAAATCGCTGTAAATACCGTGGTTTTCGTGCTGTTACGGACATTTCCGTTTTGAGGCCGGCATATGCCCCTATAAGCCATGCATGCCTGGAGGCCGGAGCCGCTGATGCTCATGGCCGGGCGGGGGGCCAGGGTGCGCATCATCGAGGCTTCGTTTCTCTTTGGGGACCCGGGGGGCGAGCATCAGCAGCATCAGTGGCTCCGGAAAGGGTTTCGGGCGGCAGGATTTCGAAGGATGCTGGCATAACTCCATAACATGGCACTCGACATGCGCGCGCACGCGCGCGCGCGCGCGTGCGCGTGAAGTTCATGCTGTCGTTGCTTCTTGCTTTCCGGCTTTGGCTGTGCTTGCTGCCGTTGTCATGCTGCTGGTGGGCGTGCCCGGCTGTGGGCGACAGCCCGTTAGATTTAGGGTTTAGGGGTTTAGGGGTTTAGGGGTTTAGGGGTTTAGGGTTTAGGGTTTAGGGTTTAGGGTTTAGGTCTAGACAACTGGTTCTAAGGTCTGTAGGGCCTCAAAATCTCCCCAAAACCCCCGGCTCCAGTGCGGCCCCAGTGGCATCAGCGACTGCTGTGCTTCATCCTTGCCCCCACTCAGCGAGGGGCCCTTCTTGCGCTGGGCTGCCTGGGCCTGAGGGGTCGCCGTTTCTTGGCAGCCCAAGAAGGGTACCCGTCTTGGGGGTTTGGCTACCTTGTAAGGGAACCTAGAAGCAAAACAAGGTTAAAAGGGTACCAGCAAGGTTTCGGGTTCCTGGCTTAGGGCGTGGGGTTTAGGGGTTAGGGTTGAGGGTTTAGGGTTCAGGGTTGAGGGTTGAAGAGGTGGCAGTAAGGCCGGAATGCAGGGGGGCTTGGGATTCAGGTGTTTTTGGCTTAGGGTTTAGGGCTTACGGTTTAGGGTTAGGGTTTAGGCTTAGGGCTTAGGGCTTAGGGTTTAGGGTTTAGGGTTTAGGGTTTAGGGTTAGGGTTTTTGGGGAGGAGCATGGAGGCAACGCCGCACACGCAATCTCCCAAAGAGCCCCTACTAGCCACGTCCCCTCAACCCTAAACCATGAACCCTAAACCCTGTACCCTAAACCTAAACCCTAAACCCTAAACCCTAAAACCTAAACCCTAAACCCTAAACCCTAAAACCTAAACCCTAAACCCTAAACCCTAAAAACCCTAAACCCTAAACACTAAGGTTTCAGGGCCACTCTCTCCACGGCCTCCACCAAGAATTGGATGATGTCGGTGTGCCCTTCTTTACCTTGGAGCATTCAGGGCAAAGGGAAGGTCAAGGTCCCAGAGGAACCTGGGAATAAAAGGCGATTTAGGGTTTAGGGTTTGGGGTTTAGGGTTTAGGGGTTGGGGTTGAGGGTTTAGGGTTTAGGGTTTAGGGTTTGGGGTTTAGGGTTTAGGGGTTGGGGTTGAGGGTTTAGCTTTAGGGTGTTTGAAGGGGTTCATAACAGATCCTTAACCCCAAACCCTGAATTCGGGAATAAAGCCCCCCTCTGGGTACCCAGGAAGGTTTACGGTGCGAGCGAAGGCTCCAGGATTTAGGGTCCGCGAAAGACCCTAGGGTTTAGGGTGTAGGGTTTAGGCTTTAGGGTACGAAAACCGCCAAAGAGGGCTTTGGGGAGTTCGCGTCAGCTCAATGAGGATCTAAGAGGACCTTTCAGACACTTCCCCAAAGCATAGGCTGCAGGGATCCCCGTCCCCACCCGACCCCAAAAACCCTAAACCCTAAACCCTAAACCCTATATAACCCTAAACCCTATCCTATATAACCCTACACCCTGACCCTTCAAAGCATACGATAAGCCTGACGACCCTATCCACTGAACCCAAAACCCTGGAAGTGCTCAGCCCCCAACACCCCAACACCCCCAACACCCTATACAGCGTATACCCTAAACCCTGAACCCTAAACCCAAAACCCTAAACCCTAAACCCTAAAGCCTAAACCCTAAACCCTAAAGCCTAAAGCCTAAACCCTAAACCCTGAACCCTAAACCGCCGCAGGGGCACATGCTTTCATCAGTGCCGTTTCGCCCATGTCATCTTTCGCCGAGATCCGAGCCCCTTTCTCCACCAGAAACCGCACGACCTGAGGGGGTTTTACGGTTGAAGGGTCTGGGCTTAGAGTTTAGGACTAAACCCTAAACCCGAAACCCTAAACACCTAAACCCCAAAACCCCGAGAAGAAAACAGAAGTTCAATCAAAGTAGGAGTTCCAGATCCGCTTCGAGTTGAGGCTTCCCTTGGTCGTCCTTCTCAACCGACCTCTACCAAAACCTTTAACAAGGTGTAGGGTGTAGGGGTTTAGGGCGAGATGCTAGTACCTTATATCCCCCTATATATTATATCGGGCACCTGTCATTCCTTCATCCCGTACTCAAGAACCCGCAAGTGTATGGACTAGGGTGCCTGGGCATGGAAAGCCATAACCGCAAAACTCTCCTGATCCCGCAAACCTGCCAAAAAGCCCCATCGCCCGAAGACCTCAAACTCTTTACTACACCGTCACACTCCTACACAGCCCGAACCCTGAACTCCAGACTCCCAAACTCTAAACCACCTGAACCCTAAACCCCAAACCCCGAAACCTTTAAACCCTCAGCCCCGACAAAGGATCCCAGAACCACTCGCAGTGGGCATTTCCCAACATAAAGGACCCCCTTCTATGCCGCCGAAAATTTTAGAACCCACAAGTACCCCTAAACCCTAAACCCTAAACCCTAAACCCTAAACCCTAAACCCTAAACCCTAAACCCTAAACCCTAAACCCTAAACCCTAAACCCTAAACCCTAAACCCTAAACCCTAAACCCTAAACCCTAAACCCTAAACCCTACACCCCCACTCCCAAATGTTCGGAAAGACCCCGCCTGTATGTAGCCGCCTGAAGCTGCGTGCATGAGGGCATTCACCCCTTCGGGATCTTTCTGGTCGACTTTCACCTGGAAAATAAGGGTTTAGGGTTAAGGGTTTAGGGTTAAGGGTTAAGGGTTTAGGGTTTAGGGTTTAGGGTTTAGGGTTTAGGGTTTGAGGTTTAGGGTTTGGGGTGTAAGGGTCAAGGGTCAGTCAACCGACACCTGGGCAGTCAGGATTCCCTTACCCCTTCTGAACATCTAGGACTCTGGTAGAACGGGCTTGAGGTTTAAGGTGTAGGGTCCCAAAATGGCCCCAACTTTGCATGCCCCCCCCCCCCCCCCCCCGGAAAAAAAAATTGAGGCTTTCCGGTCTCATGTAGGATCAGGCACCCTATTCTCCAAACCCACAAAGCTATGAGGTCGTGACTCGACTGGGGTTCAGGGTTTAGGGTTTAGGGCCTATGTCAAGATTTCGCGCAGTTCTAGCCTCAATTTACAGAATCTTGCAGATTATTCAGGCTCCTGCAGTCAACAGACCAGTTTTGGTGTTCAGGGTCGAGCCGTTCTTTACGCTTAAGCATGCAGGTTCGGGGTTGAGGGTTTGGGTTTGCGGGTTGAAGGTTTAGGGAGGGTTCGGGCATGGGGTTTTTATGCCCCCGTGGTCCTGGCAGATGTGACTGGCTCGAGCCAGAAGCTACAACCGTCCCTCAACGCAGAGCACGCATGGTGATTCTGCCTGCCCTCTCTTGGATTGTGTGTGGAGGCATATGAGCAACGCCATAGAGCCTCTAGAGCCGATGGGCTTGCTCGACACGTAGTCTCGTGCTCCTCTGGCGGGAATGCCCTCCTCTCCTGGAAGACCCGACGACACGCGCCCGGTGTCAGGAGATTGTCCGCAAGGCGGTGGCCGGTGGACATGAGCTGAACCCCTGCAGCCCTGTGGACGATGATGCCCAAGGGGCTGTGGTCGTAAGCCACGAGTCCTAAACCAGCCGCTGCGGGCCGGCGTGATATCACTGGCCCCTACCCCGATTGCTTCAGCACTCTCAAGCCCAAGCACCTAAAACCTTGGGCTCTAAACACCTCACCGCGAGAAACCCTAAAACTTCGAACCCTAGAAGCCCTATACTCCAAACCCCGAGACCGAAGGTGAAAAAAGAAAAAAGCCGGAAACGACACAAGAGCAGAGAAACCCCAAACCCCAAAAAATTCCCCGAGCCCACACCCCCTAAACCCGAAACCCGGAACCCGAAACCCGAAACCCGAAACCCTAAACCCTCAACCCTAAACCCTACCCAAACAAGCTTCTGAAGTACATAAAGCACCTCAACAATGTAGCTCCAAGATCAACCCTTATAAGCCCTATAAAAGCCTCCTATACCCTAAAAGTCCCACTCTAAACCGAACAACGCTACACCTTATGAAGAAGCCCTGCAGACCCGAAACCCTGAACCCTACACCCTAAACGTTTAAACCTGCACCTTGCGAAACCCTGAAAGCCATGAACTCTGGAAAGCAAACAACACGATAAACACCTGACAAAGCCCTTAGAAGAACTTATCAAGTTACAACCATACACCTTAGAGCCCTGACGACCTAACAACTTTCTAGAAAACCCTCAACCCTCAACCCTCAACCCTGAACCCTAAACCCTAAACCCTAAACCCTAAACCCTAAACCCTAAACCCTAAACCCTGAACCCTTGGAAGTTCGGCTTGAGCCTCAGGCCGATCCCGCCTAAAACCCTAAACCTAAACCTCAACCCCAAACCCAAACCCAAAACCCCAAGCCCCAAACCCTAAACCCTAAACCCTAAACCCTTAACGATAAACCCTAAACCCTAAACCCTAAACCCTAAACCCTAAACCCTAAACCTCAGCATCCAATAAGAAACGAGGAAGAAAAAGAAAAAAAAAAAAAAAAAAACGCCGGAGCCTTGGGCTCCTCCAACGCCTTGCTGCAACCTTCAACCTCATGGGCTTTCCCTACTACCCCGCTTCTATGCTATTCCCCCCCTAGGATTTAGGGTTAGGGTTTAGGGTTTAGGGTTTAGGGTTTAGGGTTTAGGGTTCAGGGTTTAGGGGGGTTTAGGGTTGAGGGTTTAGGGTTCAGGGTTTAGGGTTTAGGGCTTAGGGTTTAGGGTTTAGGGTTTAGGGTTTAGGGTTTAGGGTTCAGGGTTCAGGGTTCAGGGTTCAGGGTTTAGGGCTTAGGGCTTAGGGTTTAGGGTTTAGGGTTTAGGGTTTAGGGTTCAGGGTTCAGGGTTCAGGGTTTAGGGTTTAGGGTTTAGGGTTTGGGCTTTAGTGTTTAGGGTTTAGGGCTCAGGGTTCAGGGTTCAGGGTTCAGGGTTTAGGGTTTGGGGTTTAGGGTTTAGGGTTTAGGGTTTAGGGTTTGGGTTTGGGTTGAGGGTTTAGGGCTTAGGGTTTAAGGCTTAGGGTTTAGGGCCGAGGGTTTCGAGTTTAGGGATATAGTCCTTGTATACACTGATTATCATAGTTACAACCTAAAACTGGGGCGTGTCTGCGGGCATTTAAGGTTCAATAGGGTGCGAAAGGCCTTGAGGAGGGTTTAGGGTTTAGGGTTTAGCGTTCAAGGTTTAAGGTTTAGGATTTAGGGTTTCGGGGTGTAGGGCCTTAGGGTTTATGGTTTAGGGCTTATCGAAATTCTATGGAGTTTGTGTCCGGAGGTGGGGGGGGGGGGGTCTGTGGCTTGTCTAGGGCTGCAGGTTCCCAAAAAAACTGGGTCCCTCTTGTACCCAAGAAGTTCTTATGCTTTTAGGGTCTGGGCTGTTTAGGGCTTAGGGTAGTAAGCCCTCATTACTCAACCCCTAAGGCCTAAACCCTGAACCCTACGCCCTAAACCCTAAACCTGCCCCACATGCACAAACGTCTGAGAAAAAACTCCAAGAAGCTTGTCCGGACTTGGCAGCCTGCGCGCGAGCATAGCAGGCGCAGGGTCTCAATAGGCTTCACGCTCAGGGTTGTAGGGCTTCAGGTGTTTATAGGGTTTTTAGGGTTTTAGGGTTCTAGGCTTTTAGGGTTTTAGGGTTTTGGGGTTTTGGGGTTTTGGGGCTTTGGGTTTTAGGAGTTTAGGGTTTCAGGGTTTTAGGGTTTCAGGGATTTTGGGCCTTTTGGGGTTTAGGGTCATGTTTTGGGCTTTTTAGATTTAAGCGAAACGTTTGGACCGAAAGCTTTGATGTTACTTGCAACTGAGTCACATACAACTTTTCTTCATTTGGTCTTGAGGGTTTGGGTTCAGCGTTTAGGGTTTAGGGTTGAGGGTTTAGCTTAGGAATTAGGGCTTAGGGTCTCTGGGGGCTTCATGTAAGAGTGTAGGGCTGAGGGACTTTCAGAACTGACCCTTGGGGAGTTTCTGGGTGTCTGGGCGCTAAGCCAAACCCTAAACCCTAAACCCCAAACCCCAAACCCTAAACCCTAAACCCTAAACCCTAAACCCTAACCCCAAACCCTGAACCCTCCACCCTACACCCTGAACCCTAATCCCTACACTTGTAGTTCTAAGCTTCAGGGCTACAAGTCCCTAAGCCCGATGCCGAATCCTCACCCCAAGACTCAAACAACAGCAACTCGCACTTAGAGTTTACGGTTTAGGCTTCAAGGTTTAGGGTTTAGGGTTTAGGGTTTAGGGTTTAGGGTTTAGGGTTTAGGGTTTAGGGTTTAGGGTTTAGGGTTTAGGGTTTAGGGTTTAGGGTTTAGGGTTTAGGGTTTTGGGAACATGAGGCAGGGCTTTAATTGCCAGTCTGCGGAAGGACGCCCCTGTCAAAATGCGAGGTGCCTGCAGCAGCGCCAAGGGCTGGCACACAGTCAGCCCTACAGTCGACTGGGCACGCAGCGAAGGCATTGACAGCAGTTAAGGCAGCAAAGAGAAGAGCGCACACTCTGCCAAATAGGCATTCTGTCCCTCAGGGCACGCCCAGGTGGGTATCGCTCCTGACACCCAACCAAGTTTGCCACTCAGCGGTTGAAAGAAGGCACAAGCCCATAAGGAAAAACACCCACCGATATGTATAAGGGCCATATCTACACTTCCAAGTGACAGTAATGTAGACCCTATCTCTCACATCAACTCGGGCTAGCACCCTGAACCCTAGACCGAAACCCGAAACCCGAAACCCTGAACCCTAAACCCTCAACCCTAAACCCTAAACCTTCAAGACGTCTGGCCTTGAGATCCTGAACCCTGGCACAGTCAAAAGCGCGCCTAGACCCATTTAACTGGCCCTAAACCCTCAACCCTAAACCCTAAACCCTGAACCCTAAACCCTGAACCCTAAACCCTAAACCCCCTGGGCCGGCCTCTATGAGGGGATAGACTGCGGTGGTACTGGTCTTGCCCTGATTGCCTCGGCCAGTGCGCGGAGTTGAGATGGACCCTTAAGCTGGTGACCCTACACCCTTAACTAAACTTAGGGCTTGAGGGTTTAGCGTTTAGGGTTTAGGGTTTAGGGTTTAGGGTTTAGGGTTTAGGGTTTAGGGTTTAGGGTTTCGGGCCTAGCTTGGGGGTCCAGGGTTTATGGTTTAGGGTTTAGGGTCTAGGGTTTAGGGTGGAATCCCCAAACCCTCAAACCCCCAACCACCACCTCCAAAGGAAGTGCCAAGCAGCTCTTCAGCGCTGCCAGCAGGTTACTGGTCCTTTCCGCTGCGGGCGGTGGGCTTCTTAAAGGTTTAGGGTTTAGGGCTTAGCCTAAACCCTAAACCCTAAACCCTAACCCTAAATCCTAAACCCTGTCGGGCTTAGGGCTTACCGTGGTTGACCTAAAACGGCTTCAGCCGGGAGCTGGCAGTCATAGGCCTGGGCTCCTTCCGGGGGTGGTTTAGGGTGTTGGGGTTCAGGGTTTAGGGTCTAGGGCTTGGGGTTTTGGGGTTAAGGGTTGAGGGTTTTGGGTTTAGGGTTTAGGGGTTTAAGGGTTTTGGGGTCGGGTTTAGGGTTCAGGGTGTTGGGGTTGAGGGTTTTGGGGTGTTCGGGTAGTCAGATCGTTTTGGGAAAGTAGGCTCTCGGGTGTCAGAGTTTCGGGTATTGGAGTGTTG